TCAAAACAGGTTTTGAACCCATCAATCTCATGCCTTCCAATGCATCTGCCATTTTTTTTGTTTCACCTCTTCCATATTCTCAAAATGTTTTTCTTTGAGAACTTTTTTCCATTCAGGGGAACAAACAAACAAACCAAAATTTGCTCAGCTAGAGATTGAGTGAATTGGGAGGGAGGGGCATGAGGGTCATGTCATTTTTGTTCAAAAACTGCCAGACACTCTGCACTGTGTAGGCAGGTGCATTGTCATGGTAGAAGAACCAGTCACCTTTTTGCCACAACTCAGGATGTTTATTCTGCAAATTATGATGCAACCTTCTCAAGTCTTCCAGATAAAAACTTTTATTGATCATCTTATCTGGAAAAACAAATTGCAAGTATACTACAAAAGACATACTTTCCAAAATATTATTCCAGTTTTTTTTTCAGCCCTACCCCTTACATGCATATATACAGATATAAATATATATTATATACAAATGTGGATATCTTCATCTATAACTATATATGTGCTTCTTTTCACTTTATTTTTAGAGGCAATGTTATTTTATATTTTCAAATTAAACCCCAGAGTCAACTCCAATTTTATGTTATAGTTGACTTGTGTATTTTAGCTGTATGCACTGTATATCCCCTCATACAGGCAACTCAACAATTTTTGTGTTTTACTGTCACGCATATTTTTTATACTATTTAATAGAAGAAAAGTAATCCAGTATATATGCATAAAGATACTGACAATTTCTACTGCTCTTCCTTCATTGCTAACATGCTAACTTTTTCTCTGATATAAATTTCATACTGCCTGAAAAACTTCCCTTGGCATTTTCTTCTTTGTGGGAGCAGCTCAGCTGGCAATCAGTTCCCTTAGGTTTCCTTCACTGGAAACCTATTTTAATGTCAATGCTGAAAGATATTTTTGCTGAGAGTACAATACATAGTTGGAAGTACTCTCATTTAAATATAGTCATGTGTAGCTCCACCACAAGCATATCTCCTGGGACATGCATTATTAGATGATTTCATCATTGTGCAAATATCATAGAGCATACTTACATAAATCTAGATGGCAACACCTACTACATAAGCAGGCTATATGGTTCAGTCTATTGGTTCCCAGGTAAAAACCTGAACAGCATACTATTGTACTGAACATTGTAGACAATGGTAACACAATACTAAGGATTTGTGCATCTAAACACACTATAACATAGAAAAGGCACAGTAAAATTATGTCATTAAAGATTAAAAATGGAACACTAGTATAGAGTACCTCCGATGAATGAAGCTTTTAGGACTGGAAGTTGCTCTGGGTGAGTCAGCCACTGAGCCATGAGAATATGTAGGCATAGGATATTATGGTACACCACTGTAGACTTCATAAACACTGTACACTTTGGCTACACTTACATTTATAAAAAAATATTTTTCTTCAATACTAGATAAGGCTTAGCTTACTGCTACTTTGTGCTTTATAATTTTTTGACTTTTCCATGCTTGTATTAGTACTTAGCTTAAACCACAAATTCAATGTATAGCTATGCAAAAGCATTTTCTTTCTTTTTATGTCTATTTTATACACTTTTCTCTATTTTTCTTTATTTACTATTTAAACTCTTTTGTTAAAAATTAAGACACAAACACACACATTAGCCTTGCTGTGCACATAGTTAGGATCATTATTATTATTATCTTTTGCCTCTGTATCTTGTCCTACTATAAGTTCTCCTACAGCAACTAACATGCATAGACTGTCATCGTCTATGATAATAAAGATTTTTTTCTAGAATACTTTTGGAAGGGCATGCTAAGGTGGTTTTATAGTTTTTTTTAGATATGTAGAAGGAGTATATTTCAAAATAAATACAAATAATTTCAAAATATTAGTATAGTACAGTAAACACATAAACCATTAACATAGTCATTTAGGATCACCATCAAGTATTATGTAGTACATAGTATTTATTATATGTCTTATACTTGTTTATGAGTGGCAGTGTAGTAAATTTGTTTACACTGGCATCTCTACAAATATGTAAGAAGGGAGAGGAGAACCTATTCAGTAAATGGTGCTGGGAAAACTGGCTGACCACATGCAGAAGATTGAAACAGGACCCCTACCTATCCCCATACACAAAAATCAACTCTACATGGATCAGAGACCTAAACGTAAAACATCAACCTATAAGAACGTTAGAAAATTCAGGAGAAACTCTTATGGAAATTGGAACTGGCAACCAATGCCTGATGGAAACTCCAAGTGCCCATGTCATAAGAGATAAGATAGACAAATGGGACCTCATCAAACTGACAAGCTTCTGAAAGGTCAAAGTGGCATCAAGAGAGCAGGCACAGCCCACAGACTGGGAAAAAATATTTGCCAACTCCATGTCTGACAAAGGTCTAACATCTAGGATCTACAAGGAACTCAAACGTGCTGAAAAGAAAAAAAACAAATAGCCCCATTACAAAGTGGGACTTCTCAAAAGAAGACATATGAGCTGCCAACAGATACATGCAAAAACGTTCAGCCTCACTAGTCATCAAGGAGATGCAAATTAAAACTACACTGAGATACAACCTAACTCCAATCAGAATGGCCATCATCAATAACTCAAAAAATAACAGATGCTGGAGAGGATGTGGCAAAAAGGAAACACTTCTACACCATTAGTGTGAATGTAAACTAGTACAGCCTCTGTGGAAAACAATGTGGTGATTCCTAAAATTCCTAAAAATCAACCTTCCATTTGACCCAGCAATCTCCCTACAGGTAATATACCCGGAAGAACTCAAATCACTCTATACAAAGGATACCTGCACACGTATGTTTATTGCAGCATTGTTCACAACAGCAAGAACATGGACCCAACTGTTTTGCCCATCAAAAGAGGACTGGATAAAAAAATATGGTACATACACATAATGGAATATCACACAACCATAAAGAAGAACAAAATCATGAACTTCGCAGCGACCTGTATGGAATTGGAGTCTATAATACTGACTGATCTTTCACAGAAACAAAGAATTGAGTATCACATGTTCTCACTCATAAGTGGACCTTGAACAACTATTGTAATACTATAAGAAAAGGATTGACAGAAGTGGGAAACTGTGGGGGAAGGTGGGGCGGGGAGGTGGGATTGGCAGTAGTGGAAATCTGCCTGGGGAAGGGGAGGCACACCTCATCATCAAGGGTACCCGCCCAATCTTTGTATACCTAACCCTGAATTGTATCCCATAATTTTAAAATAAAAAAGTTAAAAGTTAAAATTAAAAAAAATACATGTGAGTAATGTGTGTACTACAACTTTACAACATCTACAATGTCACTAGGCAATAGAAATCTAACCACTCCATTATAATCTTACAGGACCACTGTCATGTATGCAGTCTGATGTTGACCAAAATTTCATTATGCAGCACATGTCTGTGCTTTAAATATGTGCCATTATCTCTGTCTCTGTGGTCTCTGGTCAGAAATATGCTTTTTCAAATCCTTGTTTTTTCACATACACTATGTTGAAAAGTGGCATGAATATTTCTTCTCTACCTTGAATATTCATGTTTATTAAAATATGTGCAAATATAGCTTAGAGTTTACCTAGTTTGAAGTTTGCTTCCTGTGTCTCTAAATTGACACATTTGCCAAATATTTGAAATGTTACTTCCTTCAATTATTCTTCCTTTGCCAATCTCTTTCCTATTGATGATTCCAATGGAATGCCCATTTGACTTTTATTCTAGTTCCTTAAAATAGTGTTGACTTCTTTCTAACATATTGCTGGTTTTTTTTTCGCCTTAGAATATTTTTATAAATCTTTCTTCAGTTTAACTATTTCTAGTGTCTCTTTTACTGTAAATCCAAAAATGTTGTAAATATTGCATTTTTTATTTCTAAAATTTCTAATTGTTTCTTATGACTCCTTCTTATGCTGTAATATGAGCAATAAGCAGGGTGAGTGTGGACAGTCTTGTCTTATTCCCAGTCTCAGAGAAAAACATTTGGTCTTTTATAATTAAATATTAATGTATAATTAATATTAATATTCATTAAATTTATAATTAAATGTAATTTATCTGAAGGAGACTCTCTATATAGAAATAGTTCTCTATTCCTGTTTATCTTAGAGATTTTATGATGATTTTTTTTTTTGTTTTGTTGTTTGGGTATTTTTTGTCTTAATTTCAGAGTTTTATTGTATTGCACTAAAGGAACAGCAGGTTATACAATTTTCTCTCATTCAGTTTTGAAAATCTAAAGTACTTGCAAATTCTTAAGAATACCTTTACCACCAGATTAAAGCAGTAAGCATAATAACCAATTGTCTTATAATTGTCCTACAAATAAAACACATTTAAAATTGCTTTAAATGCATTCTTCACAAGTAATTCAGCATATGTTTTTATATCATGTTCACTTACGCTTAAGAATTAAAGCAAGTATATTTTTTACTCTGATGGAAATATGGGAAATCTCTCAATCATGCAATATACAGGGATCATATTCAAGTCGAAGGGAAAAAATCCTGCTCTTCTTATTTTTGTAAATGTATCCATATATAATAATCACCTACCTGATAGATGAGGAAACCCATGAAGTTTCCCAAAAGTCAGAAACACATTTTCAGTTCATCAGAAGCACTTGACATCTACAGCTAATAGTTAAATGTCGTTTCATAAAACCAAAATGAGCCCTACAAGTTCCTATAAACAAAATCTTCCAATGGAGTAGGACAGTCAGGAATTAATGCATCATCAGAGGATTATGGCTGTTCCTTAAGGAGTGCAAGTTCAAACCTGTCAACACCAGAGGTAATCATTTTATATTAATTTATACATAATTCCATTTAAATTCTTCATCCAAGTATAATATATGAAAACAGTCTTTCCACAAGCAAAAAATGTGGAACCATTTGAAAAATAAGGACTCGTTTTTTAAAGTAACTGATCAGATTCCATAAACTACTCTCAGAAACAGGATCTCACTGGATAGAATTCCTTCATTTGGTGGCTTTTTGCATGCACTTAACTGGGCCCATTCTTCTGTGTGTTGTCCTAGGAGCTCACCGAAACATAGATCATGCCATATAGGTAGTAAAAAAATGCTAGAAGATAAAAAGCTAATTTGCACCATCCTTCTTTCTGACAATACACTAGAATATCTGCATTCATAATGGTTGTGGGGCCATAGAGTCCTGGTCCGCTCATCACGGGTCTACTTATATACCTCAAATATAATAGGCCAAGAGGGGCACGTCGAGACCCAGTGTGACCCACTCTGCCACACAAAGAAACATAACACAGAAGAAAGCATGAATGAGGTACTCTGGAAGTACAAGAGGATTCAGGGTATTACACTGGTCTATAGGATTCTTGTAATCAGTCTTCAGCTCATCAAATGCTATAATGTGCCAGATGGCGAAGAAGATGAGCGCTGCGGTGAGCAGCAGAGCCAGCATGTAGCAGAAGGTTGCAAACGTGAAGGCCATGGCTGTGCGGAGAGCAGGACGGCCCCGGGCCAGAGGGTGTGATGATTTAATGTTGAATTTCATCCCATGCTTTTTCTACATCAGTTGATGGTATTAATTTTTCTCTTGGCCTGTTAATATGGTGATTGCATTGAATAATTTTTAACATATTGATCCAGACTTATTTACTTGAAATAAATTCCACTTAGTTTTAGTGTGTAGTTTCTTTTGCACATTTTGGAGTCAATGTACTACATTTGCTAAAGATTCTCAACTAAATTCACAAATGTTATTCTGTATTTTTCTTTCTTTTTCCTTTCTTCTCAGTCTTTTCTTCTTTCTTTGTTTTTTTCATTTTAAAAATGATTTTGCCTTGTTTGTAATATTTTTCACATAATTACTTGAGATGTCTTCACTCTTCTTTCTGAAATATATAGTGTAAAATTGGTGTCAATCAGTCTTGAAATGTATGCTAAAGTTCTCTCATTTAGCAATCTGGGCCTGGGAACTTATGTTTCAGAAATTTTAAAATTAGAAATTGAGTTTCTTGATGGTTATAGGACTCTGGTGGTTCATGCCTAGTGATTTTATTGACTTTGAAGTCACTTTATCTGATTGAAATAACCATTTTGGTTTTTTCACTTTTGAAAAACTATTATCATAATATTTCTTGACCCATTATTTTACTGTTAGCCTACCTATACCATATTTCAGGTGAGTTTCTTACAAACAGAAAGTAGCTGAGCAGTATTTTGTTTTGTTTTATAAACTCTTCTTTTAAATTTTTATTTTATATATGTGGGGTATGATTCGGGGTTAGGTACACAAATGGTCATTGTACAGGTTAAGTTTGGGCCTCACTTTGGTTCCCCACTTCACCAGGTTTGAAATCAGGTACCCTTATTGATGAAGCATGCCCCCCCATTCCCTTCCTTGGCAGTTTCCCACAAAGCCACCCCCTTCCTTATGGTATTATGGTAATTGTTCAGGTTTTGTTTATAAGTGAGAACATGTGGTACTCAGTTCTTTGTTTGTATGATAGATCATTCAGCATAATAGACTCTAAGTCCATCCAAGATGCTGTGAAGTTCATAATTTTGTCCTTTATAGCTGAGTATTATTCCATTGCGTATATTACCATAATTTTTTATCCAGTCTACTTTCCATGGGCAGCATGGTTGGCTCCATGTTTTTGCTATTGTGAGTAATACCAATAAACATCTATGTGCAGGTATTTTTTTCATAGAGTAATTTGAGTTACTCCAGCTATATTCCCAGAAGGGAAATTCTGGGTCACATGGAAGTTGATTTTTATATCTTTTAGGAATCACCAAACTGTTTTATAAAAAGGTTGTACTAGTTTATACTTTCACCAACAGTGTAAAGATATTTCCTTTCCACACATCCTCTCTAGCATCTGTTTTTGTTTTGTTTTGTTTTTTAGTTATTGATGATGGTTATACTGACTGCAGTTAGGTGATATCTTAGTGTGGTTTTAATTTGCATTTCTTTGATGATTAGTGAAACTGAGCATTTTTTCATGTATCTGTTGACTGTTCATATGTCTTCTTTTAAGAAGTGTCTGTTCATATATTTTTCCCATTTTTAATAGGACTGTTAGTTTTTATCTTTTTGGCATATTTGAGTTCCTTAAGTATCCTAGATATTAGGCCTTTGTCAGATAAACAGTTGGCAAATATCTTTTCTCATTCTGTGGTCTGTCTCCCCACTCTCTTGATGGTTTCCTTTGCTTTACAGAAGGTTTCAGTTTGTCAAGTTTCCTCTTGTTTATCTTATCTCATGGAATAGGCATTTGGGGTTTTGGTCAGGAATTGGTTGCCAGCTCCAATTTCCATAAGGGTATCTCCTGAATTTTCTAAGGTTCTTTTAGCTTGAGGTTTTACATTTAAGTCTTTGATCCATTTAGAGTTGATTTTTGGATATTGTGATAAGTAGAGGTCTTGTTTTACTCTTCTTCATGTGGTCAGTCAGTTTTCCCAGCACCATTTACTGAATAAGTTCTCCTCTCTCCAGTGGTTGTTAGTGGAGGCTTTGTTGAAGATGAGTTGGTTGAGAAATTGAGGTTTTGTTCCCAAAATCTCTGTTCTGTTCCATTGGTCTATATGCCTCTTCTTGTAACAATACCAGGCTGTTTTTATTATTTTAGACTTATATAAAGTTTAAAGTCTGGAAGTGTGATATCTTCTGCTTTTTTTTTTCCCTGTGAGTTGTTGTGGTTCTTTGTGGTCATTTTTGTTTCCATATTAACTTCTGTATTGTCATTTCCAGGTCAGAGAAAAATGATGCTGGTAACTTAATGGGTATTGTGTTAAATCTGTATATTCTCTTGGTAAGGATGGACATTTTAACAATGTGGATTCTTCCAATCCAAGAGCATGGAATATTTTCCCTTTTGTTTTTGTCATTTTTTATTTCATTGAACATTGTTTTTTAGTTTTCATTATAAAGGTCTTTCACTTCTCTAGTTAGAAAGATGTCAGGTATTTCTTTTTGTTGTTTTTGCCATTATGAATGAGATTGTGTTTTTCATTTGGTTTTCTACCTGTTTGTTGATGGTGTATAAGAATGTGACTATCTTTTGCACATTGATTGTGTACCCTGAGTTTTTGCCAAAGTCCTTTATCAGTGCAAGGAAGTTTTTGATGATTCTCTTGGATTTTCAAGGTATAGAGTCATGTCATCAACAAAGAGAGTTAACTTGACTTCCTCTTTTCCTATTTCGATGATTCTGGTTTTCTTCTTTTGTCTTATTGCACTACTAGAACTTCCAACACTATGTTGAACAGGAGGGGTGAAAGTGGGTAACTTTGTCTTGTTCTGATTGTCAGGAGAAATGCTCCCAGTTTCTGTCCATTTAGCAATATTTTGGCTGTGGGTTTATCATAGATGGTTCTTACTATTTTAAGATATGTTCCCTCTATAACTGGGTGTTCAAGGGTTTTTATCAAGAAGAGAAGCTGAATTTTAGCAAATGCTTTTTAGCATATAATGATATAATCATGTGATTCCTATTTTTACATCTTTTGATGTATTTAATTACATTTATGGACTGGTGGATGTTGAACTAGCCCTGCATTCTGGGAATGAAGTTTACTTGGTTATGGTGGATGATTTTTGAGATGTATTATTGGATCCAATTTGCTAGAATCTTGCTGAGTATTTTTGCATCTTTGTTTATCAGGGATATTGGCCTGTAGCTCTATTTCTTTGTCAAATATTTACCCAGTTTGTTTATCAGTGTGATGTTAGCTTCATAAAATGATTTTGGAAGAGTTCTGTCTTTCTCGACTACTTGGAATACTTTAAATAGGATTGGTATCACCCCTCGTATGTTTCGTAGAACTCTGCTAAACAGCCATTTGGTTCAGAAGTTTTTTTGTGGGTAGTTTTCTTATGATGGAGTTGATTTCCTGGGTTGATATTAGGATTTCGGGGTCTTGTCTATTTCATGTCTCAATTTCTTTTTGTTTCAGTCTTGGGGGGGTTATGTGATGTCAGAAAGTACTCCATTTCATTTAGGTTTTCAGGATTGTTTCCATACAGGTGTGCATAGTAATTTCTGATAATTTTTTTTTTTGAGTTGGAGTCTCACTCTGTCACTCAGACTGGAGTGCAGTAACCACTCCTGGCCACTCCAGCCTTTACCTGCTGTGCTCTGGTGATCCTTCTGCCTTGGCCTTCCAAGTAACTGGAAATACAGGCATGCGCTACCATGCCTGACTATTTTTTTGATTTATTGTAGAGATGAGGTCTTGCCTAGTTGCCCAGGTGAGTCTCGAACCTGCGGGCTCAAGCAATCCACTCATCCCAGCCTCCCAAATTGCGGGATAACAGGCTGAGCCACTGAGCCCGGCTGATTTTTTTGTATTTATTTGGGGTGAGTTATTAGATCTTTTGCATTTCTGATTGTGTTTATTTCAGCTTTGTCTCTCTTTTTCTTGGTCAATCGGACTAGGGGGTCCATCAATTTTGTCTATCCTTTCAAAGAACCAGCTTTTTCTTTTGTTGATATTTTCTATGATATTTTTTGTCTTGCATGTCCTGTATTTGGATTTTACTTTGGTGACCTGGATTCTTCTGTTGAAGTTAGGATTTGGGGGTCTTGTCTCTTCAGCTTCCTTAGGTGACCTGTTAGACAGTTAACTTGTGATCTTTCCATTTTCTCAATGTGTGTTCATAAAGAAATGAATTCCCCTTTCAATACTGCTTTCATGGCATCCCAGAGATTTTGGTAAGATTGGTCTTTAGTTTAATTTCCTTCCAGAAATCTTTTAATTTCTGCTTTGATTTCTGTGTTATCCCAGGAGTTGTTCAGCATCATGGCATTTAATGTCCATGTCTTTGTGGATTTGGGGTTAGCTCCATTGGTGTTGTGTTTATTTTTATTTCACTGTGGCCTGTGAAGGTGCATGACAGTATTTCAATCTTACAGCATTTGTTAATGCTTGATTTATGGCTGATAATGTGGTTGATCTTGGGGTACATTTCATGTGGTGATGAGTAAAATGTATATTCTGTGGTTTTGGGGTTGAGTGTTCTATAGGTATCCATTTGGCCAAGTTCATTTGGCCAAGTGTCAAGTTGAGGTTCCAGATCTCCTTGTTCATTTTTTGCCTTGATGATCTATCTGGGGTTGTTACTGGAGTATTTAAGTCCCCAGATATGATAGGGTTAGAGTCTATATCTTTATCTTAAATTATCAATAAGCTGTTTTATAAAAGTTGGTGCTCCTATGTTGGGTGCAAATATGTTTAGGAGGATATTCCTTGTTGATGAATTGAACTTTTATTGTTATGTAGTAATTTCCTTATCACTTTTTACTTTTTGATAGCTTAAAGGACATTTTGTCTGATATTAAGATCACAACTCCTGCTTTCTTTTATGCTCTGTTTTCCATTCTCTTACTGTAAGTCTGTGAGTATCCATTCTGGTGAGATTAGTCTCCTGGAGACAACATATTGTTGTGACTTTTTTTTTTTTTTTTTAGTTGGAGTCTCACTCTGTCGCCTAGAC